GGCCGAAATGCAGCATGAACAACGGAACCTGGAATGTCGTCAAAGCAAGGATGATCTGCAGAGAGAAAGGTCAAGTTTGTGAGGACAAAATATGGAGCAAACGTTTAAATGGCTTTATGTTTGTTCTGGCTCAGCATTTGAAACAATAATGACGATGAGTACAGACTGGTGATCTGCTATTCTACAGATTACAACTACAGACTGGTGACCTGCTTTTCTACAGATTACAACTACAGACTGGTGATCTGCTATTCTACAGATTACAACTACAGACTGGTGATCTGCTATTCTACAGATTACAACTACAGACTGGTGACCTGCTATTCTACAGATTACAACTACAGACTGGTGACCTGCTATTCTACAGATTACAACTACAGACTGGTGATCTGCTATTCTACAGATTACAACTACAGACTGGTGATCTGCTATTCTACAGATTACAACTACAGACTGGTGACCTGCTATTCTACAGATTACAACTACAGACTGGTGACCTGCTATTCTACAGATTACAACTACAGACTGGTGATCTGCTATTCTACAGATTACAACTACAGACTGGTGATCTGCTATTCTACAGATTACAACTACAGACTGGTGATCTGCTATTCTACAGATTACAACTACAGACTGGTGATCTGCTATTCTACAGATTACCACTACAGACTGGTGATCTGCTATTCTACAGATTACAACTACAGACTGGTGATCTGCTATTCTACAGATTACAACTACAGACTGGTGATCTGTTATTCTACAGATTACAACTACAGACTGGTGATCTGATATTCTACAGACTGGTGATCTGCTATTCTACAGATTACAACTACAGACTGGTGATCTGCTATTCTACAGATTACAACTACAGACTGGTGATCTGCTATTCTACAGATTACAACTACAGACTGGTGATCTGCTATTCTACAGATTACAACTACAGACTGTCTGATCTGCTATTCTACAGATTACAACTACAGACTGGTGATATGCTATTCTACAGATTACAACTACAGACTGGTGATCTGCTATTCTACAGATTACAACTACAGACTGGTGATCTGTTATTCTACAGATTACAACTACAGACTGGTAATCTGCTATTCTACAGACTGGTGATCTGCTATTCTACAGATTACAACTACAGACTGGTGATCTGCTATTCTACAGATTACAACTACAGACTGGTGATCTGCTATTCTACAGATTACAACTACAGACTGGTGATCTGCTATTCTACAGATTACAACTACAGACTGGTGATCTGCTATTCTACAGATTACAACTACAGACTGGTGATCTGTTATTCTACAGATTACAACTACAGACTGGTAATCTGCTATTCTACAGACTGGTGATCTGCTATTCTACAGATTACAACTACAGACTGGTGATCTGCTATTCTACAGATTACAACTACAGACTGGTGATCTGCTATTCTACAGATTACAACTACAGACTGTCTGATCTGCTATTCTACAGATTACAACTACAGACTGGTGATCTGCTATTCTACAGATTACAACTACAGACTGTCTGATCTGCTATTCTACAGATTACAACTACAGACTGGTGATCTGCTATTCTACAGATTACAACTACAGACTGGTGATCTGCTATTCTACAGATTACAACTACAGACTGGTGATCTGTTATTCTACAGACTGGTGATCTGCTATTCTACAGATTACAACTACAGACTGGTGATCTGCTATTCTACAGACTGGTGATCTGCTATTCTACAGATTACAACTACAGACTGGTGATCTGCTATTCTACAGATTACAACTACAGACTGGTGATCTGCTATTCTACAGATTACAACTAGAGACTGGTGATCTGCTATTCTACAGATTACAACTAGAGACTGGTGATCTGCTATTCTACAGATTACAACTAGAGACTGGTGATCTGCTATTCTACAGATTACAACTAGAGACTGGTGATCTGCTATTCTACAGATTACAACTAGAGACTGGTGATCTGCTATTCTACAGATTACAACTACAGACTGGTGATCTGCTATTCTACAGATTACAACTACAGACTGGTGATCTGCTATTCTACAGATTACAACTACAGACTGGTGATCTGCTATTCTACAGATTACAACTACAGACTGGTGATCTGCTATTCTACAGATTACAACTACAGACTGGTGATCTGCTATTCTACAGATTACAACTACAGACTGGTGATCTGCTATTCTACAGATTACAACTACAGACTGGTGATCTGCTATTCTACAGATTACAACTACAGACTGGTGATCTGCTATTCTACAGATTACAACTACAGACTGGTGATCTGCTATTCTACAGATTACAACTACAGACTGGTGATCTGCTATTCTACAGATTACAACTACAGACTGGTGATCTGCTATTCTACAGATTACAACTACAGACTGGTGATCTGCTATTCTACAGATTACAACTACAGACTGGTGATCTGCTATTCTACAGATTACAACTAGAGACTGGTGATCTGCTATTCTACAGATTACAACTACAGACTGGTGATCTGATATTCTACAGATTACCACTACAGACTGGTGATCTGCTATTCTACAGATTACAACTACAGACTGGTGATCTGATATTCTACAGATTACAACTACAGACTGGTGATCTGATATTCTACAGATTACCACTACAGACTGGTGATCTGCTATTCTACAGATTACAACTACAGACTGGTAACATGCTATTCTACAGATTACAACTACAGACTGGTAACATGCTATTCTACAGATTACAACTACAGGCTGGTAACATGCTATTCTACAGATTACAACTACAGACTGGTAACAGGCTATTCTACAGATTAGAACTACAGACTGGTAACATGCTATTCTACAGATTACTACTACAGACTGGTAACATGCTATTCTACAGATTACAACTACAGACTGGTAACATGCTATTCTAAAGATTACAACTACAGACTTGTAACATGCTATTCTACAGATTACAACTACAGACTGGTAACATGCTATTCTAAAGATTACAACTACAGACTGGTAACATGCTATTCTAAAGATTACAACTACAGACTGGTAACATGCTATTCTAAAGATTACAACTACAGACTGGTAACATGCTATTCTAAAGATTACAACTACAGACTGGTAACATGCTATTCTACAGATTACAACTACAGATTAATAGCCTGCTATTCTACAGATTGGTAATATGTCATTCCACACAAACTGAATACACATGGTGGTAATCCTGACATTTTACCAATCCCATATTGATAATTCCCTGCATTTGACTCCGCTCCACCTGAGCGATCTTGTTCTTCTACCATAATGGAAGTGTGGGACCTGGAGATATCTAGCGCATGGACCGAGAACATGTAAGTGTAGAACTTACCCCAGTGCCATCTCCAACCCAGGCCAGGGACACAGATCCACTCATGTCATCAAAGATATGCTGAGGAGAAACAGAGGGGAAATCAAATCTGTTATCTTTATTGTAAACAGACTGACAGCAAAATATAATTCATGAACAGAACCATCACATCTGTACCAGTACTGAGAAATACCGGAGTCATATTAGGCATTTGAGGCTTAAAATTAGCAGCAGTGAGTCAGATAATGTGCCCATTTATTGAAATAAGGTTTGTCCAAATGTAGGAAATTCTACAATACTTCCATATACGTACAACGTTGTAAGAAAAAAAATACAGTATCTGCTTTCATAACTAGATGAGCACACTGACAACCTGCTATTCTACAGATTACAATCTAATCTGCCGTATATGCCAGGCCAATGTGGTTTATATGCCGGGCCAACGTGCCTTATATGCCGGGCCAACGTGCCTTATATGCCGGGCCAATGTGCCTTATATGCCGGGCCAATGTGCCTTATATGCCGGGCCAATGTGCCTTATATGCCGGGCCAATGTGCCTTATATGCCGGGCCAATGTGCCTTATATGCCAGGCCAATGTGCCTTATATGCCGGGCCAATGTGGTTTATATGCCGGGCCAATGTGCCTTATATGCCGGGCCAATGTGCCTTATATGCCGGGCCAACGTGCCTTATATGCCGGGCCAATGTGCCTTATATGCCGGGCCAATGTGCCTTATATGCCGGGCCAACGTGCCTTATATGCCGCGCCAATGTGCCTTATATGCCGGGCCAACGTGCCTTATATGCCGCGCCAATGTGCCTTATATGCCGGGCCAATGTGCCTTATATGCCGGGCCAACGTGCCTTATATGCCGGGCCAACGTGCCTTATATGCCGGGCCAATGTGCCTTATATGCCGGGCCAACGTGCCTTATATGCCGCGCCAATGTGCCTTATATGCCGGGCCAACCTGCCTTATATGCCGGGCCAACGTGCCTTATATGCCGGGCCAACGTGCCTTATATGCCGGGCCAACGTGCCTTATATTCCGGGCCAACGTGCCTTATATGGCGGGCCAACGTGCCTTATATGCCGGGCCAACGTGCCTTATATGCCGCGCCAATGTGCCTTATATGCCGGGCCAACGTGCCTTATATGCCGGGCCAATGTGCCTTATATGCCGGGCCAACGTGCCTTATATGCCGGCCAATGTGCCTTATATGCGGGCCAACGTGCCTTATATGCCGGGCCAATGTGCCTTATATGGCGGGCCAACGTGCCTTATATGCCGCGCCAATGTGCCTTATATGCCGGGCCAATGTGCCTTATATGCCGGGCCAACGTGCCTTATATGCCGGGCCAACGTGCCTTATATGCCGGGCCAACGTGCCTTATATGCCGGGCCAACGTGCCTTATATGGCGGGCCAACGTGTCCTTATATGCCAGGCCAACATATCTAATATGCTTGTAGTACTCCGCCTGCCTCTTCACATTTCAGATCACTGAACAAAACATGCACATAGTATACTGGATGAAACGCAGCTAATCCAGGCCAATAAACACAAACTTAGCTAGCGCGTAGTAGATAGCAGAACAACCTGCTCATACTAGTAAATACCTGTTTTTTTATTTAACCTTTATTTAACCAGCTGGGGATTGAACCTAGAACATCATACATACATACATACATACATACATACAAGTTACAACAGCATGAACTCTACCACTGAGCCACCAACTACTCCAAGCTTGCAGTGTCACGACTCGGGTCGGGTCAACTTTACAACATGAGCTCAAGTCTGGCAACAAGCTCACGCTATCAGAGGTTAAGACATTGGTCGTTGACAGAAATTGGCGGGGGTTTAGCAACCGTCCTGGGCCAAGTTACCTCAGATTAAATATCCTCACAGCTCACAAAGAGGAACTAGTCAATCTGGTTCCAACTGTCAGTCAACAAGCAGATATTTTCAGCGGACATACCATGCAACCCTGTACTTCATTTTGTCTATGTAAGTGTTTTTGTCCCAGTGAGAGGGTCCGTGTGTCCTCAATACAGAAGCTGTACCAACATACCAACCGTCGATACGTTGAATAAGGAGTGCAATATGCGTTCACAGGGTTTAGCGTAATGTAATTAACTCTTCTCTAACAGTTCACCGCGGGACCACATCTACACCAGTGTGCCATAATTGACTAGGACAAACGGGCTTTCCCTTTCACTGGGACTGCTACGTCCAGATGGCCTAAATTAAACACTTAATCACATCAACGAGCGATTGAACTCTACTCGTTCACAGTTACGGCAAACCGGATTAAATACCGCCAGAGGCTAGACACACAGCCGCCTAATCAATGGCCCAAGGCACGGCGTAAAAACGAGTACGAGTCGTCACGGGAATGTCTGTGACCGGGAACCAGAACACACATGTGTCGTGGAAGAGATGTTTTTGGGCGATGTCTGTGATCCAAGAAAGGACATGGTTTATAGACAGGGTTTACAGTAGATCATTGGTGACCATAAAGCCTACCAGTCTTTTATTAATGCTTAACGTGTATGCCTAAGGAGCAGCTCTGGGATGACCAGGTTAGGGAATAGCCAGGGGTGGGACACCATTGTAATATATAATACCGTTTTTCAAGGCATTGAGGGGAAAACCTCAGTCCAAGCAAGATTTCGCTTTCATATTTAACCCAACCCTTTTCAAATTGGACAGATTAGCTAACTTTCCCTGGGTGCAATTAGTATCAACATCCTCGCTCAAGAAACACGTTTTGTTTTACATTTGTGGCTCTGGGATTCAATCCAGCAACCTGTTAGTTACTGGTCATAAGCTCTAACAGAAGGCTACCTGAAGCCTACACTCATTCAGAACACTACCTGTTCTCATCTGGGCTGCATTCATTTCAGCAATATATATATATATCTTTAAAGACATGATGCACCAAAACAGTTTTCAACACGACATGTGTGAAAAGCTGTGGTGTTTCATTTTATATCTGTGGACAGAACAGTACAGTTCAATATCATAAATGTGTTGCAGCTTAGGTGTTAGTCACAACAGAATATCTAGAAATTGCTGGAATTACGTTTACGAGGTACCTGCCAGCTGCTCATTTTATCTAAAAATAGTAAAATAAACTAACACTGCCGTTTAATAAGTAATGGGAAGTTGGCATGTTTAAAGAGATTGTTCTCACAGTTGGGAATTTAATATCCAAATATCATAAACACACACACACTAAAACATGATTGCAAGCGTACATCACTTCAGCCACGTAGGCTGTGGTAAATATGAGAAGTGCTCTCACACTTTGTATCCAGATGAATATGGTAATATGATAATGACCTAACAACCAAACAATTACCATACACACCTTGACTGCTGCTATTCTGGAAAAACCCGTTTGCCTGTCGCCATCCACACAGAACACAACACAATATAGGTACAGATTAGCCCAGATAACACAAGTATTATAAAGGGTTGTGAAAAGAACAAGTGTCCTTAGACACAAAGTTGCAGAAGCCGCGGCTGAATATGCAAAGTTAACTGACAAAGAGACCCGCATCCTTACACAAGGAAATAGTTCAGATTTAAATCATGGGAACGCGAGTGGGTCGACACGGGTAACTAGTGACCCAGATTTAACACCCAGCCGAGGTTCGCCCAGCACCCATGATCCTCGGTAGGATACCGTATTACAGACAAACACAGGACTCATTCTGCTCAATGGGTAAAGGTGGTAACTTCTGACTGGCACCAAGTACATCGAGGATTGCATCCAAAAGTGGATGAAACACAGAACGCAAACAGACTCATTCAGAGACTCGAGATTTTCGGAACAACTCGCATCCGTGTTTCCAGAAGGGTTCCAGACCCAGCTCATTACGAGCCTAAAGCCCAAATCACACATGAATTACTGATGAGGTGTGGACTAGTGCCACCGTCTGAACAATAGCATGCCGATGACAAGTGTAACCTGAACAGACCTGCCGGGGTAACTCACCGTGTGCGTGTTGTTGTCCAACTTGGTGTCAAATCCCTGGAGACTCATGCAGTCATCTTGATCCGTGCTTCTCCTACTCCTAATGTGTGCTGAGTCAGCCTGTACATCTGGATCCGAAGACCTCTTTTCGATATTCAAACTGGGATCTGCTTTCAGAAATGTATACTGTCCATTGTTAAACCCTCCTTCGTAAAAATCAAAACCAGTCGAAAAATGCTGGAATAGGAAAAGTAAAACACATTGCGCTAAAACTCCCATTTCACTGTGAATACAAAACCCAAATATCCGTGTCAAAGTGTTGTAATCCGATCAATTCTGCATATAAACTGACAGGATGACATCAACACAAACAGTATTCCTGACTGACTGACTGGTACAGCGGGTTTATATGCTCCCAACCGTCCCAATAAAGGCGATACGCGGCAGAACCAGGACGCTTGGTTCTCCGAGCCACAGCGAGAGACAAATTTGAAATGTCCTATTAAAAAATATTAAAAACGAATCGGAGACATTTGACGACATGCGTTAGGTCCAATTGTCCACCTTGCAACTCACAGACCTGAAATAATTCAATAATAACCGAGCCTTTTTTGTCGTCTGCGGGTCAGACATTGGACGCGCGTTAGCCGAGAGCCCGGTGTGATTGGTTCATGGTCGAGTTGACACTTTAAAGAGGTATTCTGATTGGTTGCTACGCAAACCGCACGTCCCACAGCACAACCCGATCTGTCAAAGCCTTGTCAAGGCTGGTTGAGAATACGATGTCCGCTACTGGATTCTATGAGAAACAACTTGGCCCGTAAATATTTGTCGATTTCTGGGTATTGCGTTAAAAAAATAATTTGTTAGATACAATCTATTAGATACAATAAAAAAACTATAGGCACACTAAAATTTGAGACAATAATTTGTACAAATTAGAAGTTTATTTTAAGATAGTTGCCAGATCAAATTACAACAATTGGATAATATGTCATGACCAATATTGATATGCATCAAATTACGAAATTAAAGGATGGTGAAAAACGTTTGATGAGTGATGGTATAAGAGCGATACGTTTCATGCTCCCAAAATCTGCCATTTCTTCTCACATAGACCTAATAGTGTTTTTTATTTTTTACAGTACACAAACTCAACTTTTGATTGAATTCTCTTCATGCCTGTCAGTTCGAAACCATTTATCTTACTGATCAGATTTGAAATGTATTCCTGGCGATGTTACAGTGTGCTGCGGTAACCTGTGAGCAGGGATGTGGGGATGTGACTCGTGAGCTGGGATGTGACTCGTGACCTGGGATGTGACTCGTGAGCAGGGATGTGACTCGTGAGCAGGGATGTGACTCGTGAGCAGGGATGTGACTCGTGACCTGGGATGTGACTCGTGAGCAGGGATATGACTCGTGAGCTGGGATGTGACTCGTGAGCAGGGATGTGACTCGTGAGCAGGGATGTGACTCGTGAGAGAAATCAACATTGTAGCGAACGCAGGAACCAAACCGAGATCCAGCCTTCCTCACTGGCAGCAGAACATTAAGCCAGATTAAATTCATTTTGGAGCCACGCAGACCCCCAGAATGCACAGTCACATTATCCGCAACAGTCCTGGAATGGTTTGAAACAAACGAGTGCGTGAATGCATTGAGATATGCGTAGATAGTTACCCTGCCAGGATAAAGAAAACCATATCGGGGCATTTAGTGTCCACCACGTCTCAAACAATTGTTTGAGCTCATTACACACAGTAATCTTGACTTTTGATTCAGATACCATAAACATTCTGGCCAACATCTTTTAGAAACAGGACTACTTTTGTTGACCAGGTGCATTTACATTCAATGTATATATATTACTGACAAAAATAGCCCTAGATCTTGGTCAACACAGACAGGAATCAACCTTGCTCCAGGGCCAAAAGGCTCTCCATTACTAAAACCTGTTAGGCCGCCTGACACTGCGTTGTACAAATCAACCAACTTCCTTTGAAACAGCTTGGCTGTGGGTGTGATTGTTGTAAACACATCGACGCGCCCTATCAGGGGTGTGTCGAACCACTTTCTTTGCACATTGGAGTTTTACATATTCAAACATGACTTGTGAGCAGATCTGCCCTGGAAACAGAAATGTATGTGACTGGTTGTAAATGCTGCGCTTTTATGGAGAGCGTTGTCTCAATGGAGAGTGTGGGATTTTGTGCTGAATGCTAAACATAGGAATTTTATGGTTTGTGCTTGTCTCAACTCTAAACCTAATCCTTAAACCCTACTCTTAACAAGTTTCCAATTAAAGTCAAACTGTAGGTGATTGGATGAGATTGTAACCCCCACCCTTGCCACTGACTTAACCAATCACATTAATTTCTGCCTCCGAAGCAGCACTGCCCAGAGACCAAGTTCGAGTCAGAAAAACTACCAACTGCCATTTTCTACTTAAATTCTTTCACCTCAAATTGCAGAACTACACCAACCATAGTGGCCTCAAAAGATCAAAGTGTAATTTGTGTACAGTATTCGTTTCTAGGGAATTTTTGTTATTACATTTTGTCAGTGAATTCAATTGGCGGTCGGAATTGGCATTGATTGAGCAATGCACCAGAAACTGAGCTTTGGCTTTTGTTTTTTATTGATAATATATGATTAATATTATTGTTAGTTATTGCAGTATCATCTTAGACACAGTACAATGAATTTGTAGTACTTATTTAGACGGCGCACATGAAGAGATCTAATCCTGCTAAA